GGAAAGGCAGGCTATTACTAAGCCACATGGGATCCTGCTGAGACCCAATCCCCAGGAGCTTGGGGAGACTTGCTGGTGATGGAGTCTGCAAACAGCAGACAAGCTGAGCACTGCGATGTGATGCAGTGACAGTCAATTTCCCAACAGTGCCCCCTCTTTACTACATGTGAAGTCACTAAGCACCTGCATTAATCCAGGCAGCTCCAATGTTAAGTCTGGACTTTGACTAAGAAATGGATCTGAAAGGAAGGCTCTGCAGGGTAGGCCCAGGTACACATTCTTCCCAAATGAGAACATTTCATTGAGGACTCATTGAGACAGGGCAGAATTCAGAATACTATGGAACTATTCACATGTTGTTCTGAGTAAAAATTTTAGTGAATTTTTTTTTTTTTTTGAGCGAGATTTTTGCTATAGGATGCATGTACCTGCTGGAGAGACAGACAGACAGAATGTGAGAAATTTGTCATCTCCCATCCCCATGGGGGATGGCCATGCCACAGTCCCTTTTCCTCCTTTCTCCTCTCAGGATTTTGGGCACACATGCACACATACCTGGTGTGAGTTTTAAGCCATCGGGTATGGGACTGGAAACGCAGCCAACTACATGGGAGTCCAGCAATGTAATTATTCTGCCATCCGCTGGTCCCTTTGGTGAATATTTTTTTCTTTTTTTAATAGGGCAAGTCAAACAAGGTGGTGGGTGGATAGACAATGAAATAAAATCAGCAATGGGATTATCTTCCCTGGAAGGTGTTTATTCCTTCTGGACTTTCAGCTGTGGTATCTAACCATGTGGATTTTGAACCAGAGTGGAGCTAGGGGTGGAGAGGAAAATCAACCTAAAGGCCAGAGACTCACTGACTGTGTTAAGCTTGAGAATTATGTAAGGCAAAGGTTGCAGATGGCCAGCTCTCATTTCATGTCCTACAGAGACAGGCTGATGAGGTGGAGTTGCTCCACCTACCTGGGAGAATGGGATTTGGATGATACAGTTCTGAAAAAGTTTCATGGCTCTCAGTAGCAGAGATAACCAAACTACCCCTCCAAGAAACTGGTAACTAGTTGCCTCTGAAGAGTGCAGCTCAATGGTGGCTAAGGGCGGCAGGTAGCTTTCCTCTCTCTGTATGTCCTTTGTAGGAACAAAACCAAGAAAACAACATCCCCCCCCATGTCGTCCTATCCTACTTCTTGACTGGGACAGGGCTGATGTAGACAAATTCATTACTTAACAGCTGACATGGATAGCTGGGATGAGGATCTGAAAATCACAGAAGAGTTGCAAGTTGAGTGGAAAATCATGATCAAAAGGGCAATTCAAGGACTAACATAGCAAAGTGCAAAAGCAGGCATTGGAGGTGAAGTTCAGAACCAGAAAATAAGGCACCAGGGAAACATAGGCAAGGGCACTGGTTGAGATAGACCAATGTGTTTGAGAAGAGCCAAGGACAAGACCCTGGGTGTCCTGGGTGTGATGCAAGGGGAAATCTGTGGCTGTAGGACCAGGAGCTCAAAAGGTCTGGGCAGCAAGGAGCAGGCCAGGGAGGGCAAAACAATACAAAAAATGGTGGGGACAGGGGGAGGCACAGGAGTACTGTCATATAACTTTCCTATTTGGGACATCCCTAGATTATTTGGTAATGGCTTGCTCTGGATGAACACTAGGGCAATAATTTTATTTCCCTCAAATCCAAGGCATACTATCATCATTGAATATCTTCTGAGAAGTCTTTCAAATAGAATCAGTTCAACTAGTTCAACTTGACCACTCTTCAGGACAAGATCTAAGGCAATAAATTAAGTCCTTTTTGTTATAGACAAATGGAGTAATTTGAATTCACATACCTAATTATCCACTTGTGGTTGCTCTGTCTCCCAACCCTGTCTGGTCCAAACTGATCTGGTACCCTACATTCCAGCAGCAGTCATGGTCCAGATAAACTGGCAGGGGCACAGGACTGGATTAAAATCCTTCAACAGGTTCTATCAGGACCTGTGTGCTATTTAATAAGCTGGAGATATTGAGCCCTCTAATTGTTGAGATCCTGGCCTGGGCCAGGGAGTTTACAATTCTGCAGCAATTATCACTGGGCTTGAGCAAGGATTAATAGGAGGTTCAGCAATCAAGTTCCAACGGGTAGAGGGGAGGACTTTATTTCTCAAGTACAGCTTCCCCAACAGGGTAGCACCGTGCTTATGAGCAATTGAGGGCCTCCTCTGATGTAGAATGATTTAACAATCCTGAAATTGCATGTTTAGAAATTAGCAAGCAGGTGGAAATCTGTAAGTTGACGCTTGATTTAAGAGGTTTCCTAAACAGTATGTTTTCAAGGTGCCTCACAGCTGTGGGGAACTTGGAATTTTCTGGACAGTAGAGACAGTGGAAGAACAGGACTAAAATTCTGTGTTCAGTAAGTAAGTGTTGGGCCTCTATACTATCAACCAGTATTATTTATGTCCATCCTAGTTAAACATGAAGAACTGCTATGTTTAAGAATCCTTGAGTAAAACATAGACACTGGCCAATGCTTTGAGATGTCATTAATGACCCCTTGCTCCTCTGCACCCCCCACGAACCATTCTGAGATGTTTCTGGTCTCTGTGCTATGTGGAACCCACATAGGAAAACATGCCATGCCATAAGTCCTAGCAGAGAGGAAGGAACAGAAGAGACAAGCATTTGTACTTGTAGAGACCGCTTCTTGGGGTTCAACTGGAAAGTGAGAGTTAAATAAGTGGAATATTATAAATCTATTTACAGACTCAGGGGAAGCAATTTATAGACTACTGGCATAGAGTTTGGGGCAGAGAATTAAATTGCCCCAAATTATTCATCTTCTCCAACACTATTCTCTCCTCCTTTAGACTTTGTTTCAGCCAATGGTGTCCTCATTTCCTACAGATGCAGGCTGAAAGCCTTATGCTATTCCACTTGCCTGGGAAACTTCTAATTTCACAGCCCTTTTGTCTCATCTTTCCTCAAGGATCTGGTTCAAGCACCACCTCATCCTGATGAAGCCCATCAGCCCTTGGGGAATACTGTATCATAACTTTACAGTGTCAATGCCTACAGTGTTCTAAAAACAGCAGCTGCTCAAAACACACCTGACAATATTGGTGTTACTAAAAATAGGCTGCTAGGTGGGAATGTGCATGCAGATAGTGAACTCCATAATTCAGGGTCTAGAGAGTCACCTGGCTTTCCTTGCCACATGTTACAGCCTAGGCCTGGGTCCCATGCTTTATACATTCCAGGACCCGACCCTCCTCTTCCAGCAGAGGGGATATAGCCAAAGTAAATGGGAGTCCAAAGCACAGGGCTAGAATGAAACAAACCCAGCTCTTCTGTGAAGGGTATGTCAGTGAACAGATCACTACTGGATGTTCTCAAGGTCTCCCACTGGATCATCTGGGCCAGATTAGCCCTCCCCAGCATGTCAGCATGTCACTGTCTTCTGTGCCATACCTCAGGCCTAGGTATGGAACTGTAAGCCTTCTGGTGGAGTCCTCCCAAAGCATGCCTCCCTGGGCACAGAGATACAGGCTCCAGGAGGTCCTGTTCCTACTTCTCATAGGCATGATCTCTTGAGGCAGAATGTTGAATATGAATAACCAGGACAGACACAACAAGCTAAAGTCTGGGCAGGGGAGAGATCCAACCTGGCTAAGCAAAAGAAATCAAGAACAAGCGAGAAGCAGAAGCCAACAGCCATAAATTCTTCAAAGTTGTGGAGAACAGCAAGGAAGATGGCCCATGGGTCCAGACAAGAGTAACTAGCAGGCCAAGAGGCATAGGTAGGAGTGGCAGAGAAGAATGGAAATGGATGAGCAGCAAAAGGGGTGCCTGCTGCCTGCCTAATTCAGCTTCAGCTCCCTCATACTCCTTCACCATGGTGTGAACCAGTCCCGAGCTATCCTGGGGGGCAGGCTTGCTGAAGAGGAAACCTGCAGAAGCTGGCTGGCAGGGCAGTGGAGTCTGGGATGGGACGTTGGCAAGGGCATGTGCCTCCCAGCCTCACCCTGGAGACTCCAACTTTCAGAACTTGTAACTCTTTTCCTCACGTGGGAGTCATTCTTCCTAGGGTCCTTTGAAAGTTCAGACTGAAAATCAAGTTTTCGAGATTTAGGCTCATCCTTCAAAATAGTCGATATAACTTTTGCAGAAACTTTCTTCATGTTCAAGTTTTCTTTCAGAATGAGTCTAACAGTTTCTTTATCTAAATTCAATTCTTCAGCCATCATCCTCACCGTTAACTGCCTGTTTGAACAAACCAATTCCTTGACCTTCTGGATATTCTCATCAGTCCGGTGGGTGACCGGGCGGCCACTCCGGGCATCATCTCGAACATCTTCTCGCCCTTCTTTAAACCTTTTATGCCAGTCGAAAACTCTGGCCCTTGACATGACTTCATCCCCATAAGCTTCTTTTAAAAGATGGTGGGTCTCACTGGCAGACTTGTTTAATTTCACGCAAAATTTGATACTGATCCTCTGCTCTAAATAGCGGTCACTCATTTTGGCAATAAACAATGGCACCGTTAATAGGTCACGCCTTTGCGGGGAAGACAGCGGGCCCAACCCTAGAGGGCCGCAGGTGTAATCACGTGGCTATTCTGACTCCTCGGGAAGCCTCTCCAGGAAGGAGTAATTGCTCTCCTGATTTTCCGCCCCTGGGCTTCCATTCAGGCCAGGGAGCTACTGGGATCAACAAGCAGCTTGCAAAGACGGAGAAAATGAAATCTCCAACAACCCAAGTCTGAGTCCAATCGGAATAGGGAGACGGGTCGGCAGTTTGCAAATCAGTCACCAAGGTCGTTGCGATTCCGCGGCCCTTAAGAGTCCACAGCGACCCCTGCCACAGAGGCCTAACCAGAGGCAATGAAGTGGACAAGGAGGGATACATCGGTGATGTACCGCGCAAGCTCGGCAGGGATCCGCAAACGCCGCGTACGCCAGACCTACCGGAGCAGCAGCCCGCGGCTTGGCGGTTCCAGAAACCCAGGAAGCATACCCGCATGCGTACTTCACTCCCTGGCCCTCTCGCGGCGTGCGCAGGCGCACCACGCCGGGCTCCGCCCCGCCTCGCACCGCCGCGCTTCCTGCGCGTGCCCGCCCGCGGAGGAGTCGGCGGAAGCGAGGTTGAGGGAAGAGAGGGCACCCCCGGGCGCCGCGGTGCACTGTGGGAAGGCGGCGGCAGCGTCCCGGGCGGGCGGGAGGTGCACCAGCGGCGGCGGCGTTAAATCCTC